GGCGAGCATGCTCCGCTCCCTGGGAATGGCCCAAGAGATGTGTTTTATTGCCGAGAAATGGAAAATATTCTCCGCCCAACTGCCAGAGGGGGTTAGCAAGGGTCTTTTCCACCCAGTTTTCGGGCTGTGCTGGCTGGATGTGCTCCACAGGAGGCTGTGTGGGAGAGGTGGGTGCTGTCCCCTGTCCCAGCAGCAGTGTCCCAGGGGCTGGCATATCCCAGGGTGCTGCTGACACCACACAGGCTGGTTGCCTGCCAGGGGCTCAGCTGGGAGCTAGCACCTAATGATTCTTGGGCATCAACCGTGTCCCATCATTCCTTCTCTAGCTTTGTCAGAAAACCAGCACCCCTCTCTGTTTTGTTTCCTCCAAGAGCAGAATAGCACAGGTTTTGCCAATCTTTCTGTTCTGGGATGTTTTTATCCCCAAACCATGATGCTCCCAATGCCAAAAAGCCTATGCTTTAGACTGTTTCCATTTTCCGAGTGTGAAGTGTATGTTTTCCCTGGGGCGGGGGGAAGACCCCTGAAGCGAGCTTTGCTCTCCTTCAAGCCTGCACAGTGGGGCAGGGGAAGAGGGCATGACTGTCTCTAGGAAAGTGTGGGGAGGCCCTTCCCAGTATCCTGAACATGTGATGTCCTGGCATCCCACAGGACTCCTGTGAGGAGAGGATCCCTGTGAGCATGGGGAGGAAGGCAAAAAGAAGCCCGAAAGGGTTATCTCCTCTCCTCCAGCTCCCACGCTGCATCTGCAACCTCCCCTCTCGCTCAGCCCTCTCATCTTTCCTAAGAAGCCGAGCCAAGCTTTCCCACAGACCCAGACAGCTATTAGAGAAATATTATTACCAGATGGTTTGTTTTTTCCATAGGACCAGAGGCCAGTGTGAGGTAACAGGGAAAATGTTAACCCACCCTGCTCCAGCCTGGGCGTGGGGATGTGGCTCGACCAGTGGAGCCGTGCCGTGTCCTGGCTGTGCTGGCGTGCAAGGGGGGTGCTTGCACCCCGTGTATGCTGGACCAGTGGGGTGGCTGGAAACTCCCTCCTTGGATGGGTGGCTTGGGAAGGCTTTGATGGAAGAGCATGTACCTAAACGGTGCTGGGAGGGAAGGCCCCCCCCAGGCCAGCTTGAGCCTATCTGGTAGGAGCAAAGCCCAGCTGGCGAGCTGCATGATGAGGAAGTTCGCACCAGGTCAGATGAGCCAGGGATTCAGGCGGAGGAGAAGCGCCACGTCCTGGCTGCCCTGCCTCTTGCAGGGTCGATATGAGCACTAGGCAAAGCGAAGGCGCCGTTCCCGAGTAGGGATGTCCTGGCAGATGCTATGTGACGTGGGTGGGCTCTTCTGCTAGGCCCTTTTTGCTGGTGGGGTAGGTGGATGCAAGATCCTGCTCTGATGCCACTGAGCCTGCTCTGTGTCTGTGTTAGGATGCTCACAAAGCACTGCTGGCCTGTGCTGGGAGAGGTGATGCTTTCCTGCTCGGAGGGGTTTCTCTGCTGCCTCCTCCTGCAGATTATCTGCTGTGGGAAGCTAAATTATCATGTGTGGAAATGTCACAAGCCACAGTCTTTCCAGTGGGGTTTGTGGTTGGCACGCGTTCAGCTCGGACCATGTCTGCTCCCATTGCACAGACTGAGCACGGAGATGGGGTGGCCAGAGAAGATGCAGCTGAGCCATGGGCAACCTGGGTCCTGCACCCTGGGGGGGCTAGGGCCCTACACCCAGCCTCCGAGATTCAGCCTGTGGTCACCTTGTGGTAGCCAGAGTATGTGGAAACTACTCCTAGAAGAGGCCTTCACCTTCCCAAACACTTAGCTAGTCTTGGGTGTGCGTGTCCCCAGGAGCAGGGGAAGGGTGACCCAGCCAGCTGTCAGGATGCTGGTGTGTTTCATGTGGTTGCAACCAGGGAAATTTTAGTGCTCATTAATTGTGGCATCTCCTGGGAATATGTGAGAGGCCAAAGTAGCCCCAGCTGCACAAGATTGAGCTGGAAACCTGGCACTTGGTCCTTCCCTGCTTTCCAAAACCCCCTTTGGTTATGAAAGTGCCGGCAGGCTACTGAGATCCTGGGTTTCCCCAAGGGCATTAATTTCAGCTCATTTCCATATTCTTAAGGAAGGAGGGTTTTCCATTTCTAAGTGGACTTGATTAAAGGGAAGGGAAGGTTGTATGAAGGAGTTAATAGCAGAAAAAGGGAGAAAATTCATTCTGTTCTCAGACTCTGGCAGGAAAAAAGGCAAAACTTCTGTCCTAAGTGTAGTGTGTTTGTGGTGGTGTGTTTTGGGGTTTTTTTTCCTTTCCTCCTGCACCCCAGTTTGGTCTGGAATTGGATTAAAAGTCTATTGCCCACTGTGCACTGCAGTGCTGCGGACTGGGGCTTGGGACAGGGAGTGCTTGTCCCCCAGGGCATGCAGACACCATGGAGGAACTCCCCATGCCCTTCTGTGGGCACCTGTGGGACACTGCCCCCCCCCCAGGTAGATGAGGGAGGTGCCATGCTCCTGGGGGAGCTGGTGTGGCAGGGCCATAGGGCTCAGCTTCCCTGACCTTGTCTGCAGAAGAAGAGGACATCCTTCACAGGCATGTGTCCTTCGATTTTTGGACATGACAGCACGCTGCTAGGCCAAATGATTGCAGGACCTTTGGGGTCAGTCTGCAAACTTCTGCCCAGCTAACAGCGAGATTTCGGCAAAACTAGCCCACAGTTTTCCGAGGAAACAGCCGTTCGGTGCCCCTGGGATGCTGCTGGCTGTTGGCCCTGGACTTTTGAAGCCAGACACTGATCCAAGCCCACAGTCCAGTTGGACAGCAGAGGGGATGCGCCTGGGATGTCACTCCTGACAACAGCCCCTGGCGCTGGTGGCTGGAAGCAGGGCAGGGAGCGGAGTCCCTGGGCAGGCAGAAGGAGCTCAGCCTTGCTGGATCCCTGCTCCAGGGAGCGCAGGGTCTGACAGGCTGCAGCTGCGTGGAGCCGTATACGGTCAGCAGCTGCCTTGCACAAGCCATACCATTATCATTAAGTCTTTGCTGGCACAGCCGACTGGCCTCCAGCTTACAAGGCTCCGCGGAGCAGCCAGGCTGTTCCCGAGGTGGATGTGCTTTGCACTTCCTGGAAGGCGCAGGCGGCAGGGATCAGCTCTTCTGCTGCTCAGAGTAATTCCCTGAGCGGGAAGGGAGAGAGGAAGAGGTAAAATAAAGAGGGAATGTCTGTGGTGTGCAGATTCACAGGATGCTTCTGCTGAGCTGATGCGTGAGGACAGGTCCCTTCCCAGCACCCTGCTCCCTGGGAGCCTCTGCCTGGTTTTCAAATGCTGGAGAACCAAATCATGAACTGTCACACAGTAGGATTTGTCCCTAGACACGCTTGCTCTCTTGGACACCATTTTCAGTAGGTGATGAGATGCCTTGAAAATTTGTCTTTGGCTGTTGTTTATCCAAAGAATCACTGTCTGATGCATCTGCCTCGATAGTGTGGAGAGGCTCCTCCACTGATGTAATTTGTAATCAGTGGAGCTACTATTTTTTTTTAGTTGTCTCAACTTGAGACAACTTCCTACAGCCAAGCCTACAATGTTTTTCTCGTGATCATTGACACAAAGATGCTGTCAGAGGGGTTGTGCGTGACTTGCAGGGTGATGGAGGAGTCAGCCAGCCCCGACTGCCGCCACCAAGCAGTGCTCCTGGTCTCCTGCTGCCTTTGTGCAAGCAACTTAGGTGCAAACCATTTGTGTTGGCTGGGTCCGTGCTGCCAGCGCTTGGTCGCTTGGAGCTATCCTGGTCCTGTGCATTTCCACAGGCTGCTCTGCCTGGCCCAGATCAAGCCCCTCTATGGGGTTTCGTCTTGGCTTTCAAAGACAAACATGGATGTGTTGTCCTCCTCGGCCTGGACAACACATCAATGTGCTATTTAATGACAGGCTTTTGTTCCCTCCTGTACTAGTGGGAGCAGGTTACAGCTGTGGCTGTAGCAGGATCAGCCTCCAGGGATTTCACATCTCCCCCAACAGCAATTAATGCTCCCACTGTGGTGAAGGGCTTGGCAGTACCTGCTTCTGGGTCTGAGTTCAGCAGCATGGGACTCATCTCCAGTGCTGGCCATGGAGAGCGGATGGTCTGCAAGGCCTTGGGAGGGATACTGCTGTGGAGGTGCAGGTCCTCAGGCTTTCCTGCCATCCTACAGGATGGGAATATGTTCATCTCCAGGCATCCTTAAGGGCTTGGGCTCCTTATTCTACCTCCTGAGCTTGACAGCTTTGATCTTATTCCTGCTCCCTGCCCTAAGCATGGCCTTGGGGGGGTCATTCCCAATCTGTGGGGGTTCCTGTTGGGTTTTTCTCAGCCTGCCCCTCAGCTTCCTGACTGGGTTGAGTAGAAGGCCCTGAAAATCAGGGAGGAAGGTGCTTCTCCAAAAATGTGGTGTCTCCATGGTGCCCCCATCCCTGGGTGGCTGTGGGACAGCTTCAGCTCTGCGCTGTGGTGGGACTACCCTGGTTAGCAGGACAAGACAGGCCAGGTCTCATGCAGGTGGGGATGCCTGTCCTGCTGCCACAGCTTGCTTGGCCCAGGAGCTGGGAGGGAGCAGTCTGGCAGGCATCCCAAGCATCCTACCCCCCACCCACAGAGCCAGCTGACTCCCAGGGGGGATGCTGATTGCTGATCCGGGCACTGACCATGCCAGGACTCCCTGTGCATGGCACGCGGAGATCCCAAGCATCCGTGGCCAAGGTGCCATCGCAGGTACAGAAAAAGGGTAGAGAAATGCCTCATTCGTTTCTGACTCAGAGCTGACAATTTCTGATCCCTCCCTCCGTCCTCGGGCTGGAGAAGTCTCCTCCTCACCCTTACCCTCCTGCCTGTTCTTCCTCCCACAGAAACCAAGGGGAAAGTGGTAAAAAAAAAAATCTTCTGTGGCTTCTGCCTCCGGACCACGGCCTCTCTCAGCTGCTGGCTTCTCCTGCCCTGCTTTTTCCTTCCATCCAGCTCGATGGTAATCTGAACCAGGCAAAATGAGGCTGCGAGGCTTTCTACTCACTTTGCTGTTCCTGGGGGGGGGCTCGCGGGCTCAGCGCCCAGAAATCGCCACTCGGGTCACAAACGCAGAAGGTAAGCCTGGGCTGCTTCCCAGGGTGTTTTTCCTCCGCGGGATCTGCAGAGAAGTCCGGCTGCTGTTTCCCCCCCTGGGCGGATGCCTCCGCTGCCGCGAACAGCACAGCTTTGTCGGGGCGTTTGGGAGGAGAGTCGTGTTTGCTAAGGAGAGCGATGTAGGATTAGAGGGGATCTGCAAGATGCATCTGCTTTTAATGCTGGTTTTGGTTCTTTCTCCTCGGCTCTGCCTTGTCAGGTGTTACCGGTAGCACGGAGGGGGGAATAACAGCTGGTACCAGTTTAACTTTCTGAAAGATTTTTGCTTTTGAGGCTGGCTGTTAAGGTGCCTTTGCTCCCCTCTGCAACAACATTTGTGCCAGGGTGTGACAGAAAATCGTTAACTTTGTGTTCATTGCTATCATGTCTTGCTTTTATTTTATTTAAGTGGTGGCTGCAGCTGCATGTTATTTTATAAAATAACTAGTGTTGGTCTTGCAAAGATATCCTTTGAATGTAAATGGGGAAAAAACACTGTGAAATGCCCCAAAGTGGTGTTTTCTGAATACGTGCTTGATCCGGCTTACCCTTGATGACAAAACAGAAACAGGCAACCTCACCCTTGCGTGTCTCGCGTGGGGTCAGGATACGAGAGTGGCCCCCTTAGCACAGACCCTGGGGGTGTGCTGGGAGGGGAGCTGGGCTGCAGATGTGTGTGCTGATGGCATGGGGAGCGCAGGCTGGGGAGGCGTGATGCAGCAGGGCTGCCTACCGACTCCTGCCTCTCCGCTTCTTCCCAGACTGTCCCGTGGACCTGTTCTTCGTCCTGGACACCTCGGAGAGTGTTGCCCTGAGGGTGAAGCCCTTTGGGGACCTGGTAGCCCAAGTGAAAGATTTCACCAACCGGTTCATTGATAAGCTGACAAACAGGTACATCTCCCATCCAGGCTGTTTTAGGGATGGAGCCTGGTGCTGGGTGGGATGCTGGGACCACCCTGTGTGCCTGTCTGCGGAGCGAGGAAGCAAGGCTGCTGGAGAGGGGGTTGGGAAGAGGGATGGGTCTGTTTCCTACTTCTCCCAGCCCACGGCCTCTCTGTTTCTGGTCTGTCTGTGCTGAGGGTAGAGGTACGCCTTCAGCAGGGGTGCCTGTACCTGCCCTCAGGAAAGCAAGGGGTTCCTGGATAGGCAGGAGAGATGCCCCAGCCCACCGCCCATCCAGCTAGCTGGGTGCCTATTCTGTAGGGCCAAAGCTGTACTAATCTCCTTGCCACCAGCCCAAGACAACCCAGGTGGTGGGTGTCAGCAGGGCACCTTTGATGCTAAACCCAGTGCTCGAAGGCACCCTGCAGGGCAAAGCCCCCTTCCAACTGGCATCCCCCAGGACACCTTGTAGCATTGCCCTCAGCTTTAGGGGGCCCTTATCCACCCCACTGCCCAGCCCTTTATCTGCTTTCTCCTCACCCACCCTTGCAGCCACTGACTGAGGTCTGACCCTGGCTTTAGCAGGATGAGGGCACCCGGGGCACCAAGGGTCCCAGATTCCATAATGGGGTGATGCTGGGAAGGGCTGCAGGCAAAGGCCATGGCTCACCTGCTGGCGGGAGATCCAGGCATGCACGGGAGCACCAGGATGCCTGGAGGCACGTGGGTCCTGGGGAGCTCCTTGGGGCAGCAGATGTGTGCTGGTGACCAGAGGGCCATCGTGGGGATGTCTCAGTGCTGAAGGAGCAAAGTCCCCATCTCAAGACAAGTGGGAGGGGGCCAGCAGATCACCTGCCTATTGCCCAGGAAGGAGAGTGACCTTATGAGGCATTGAGTGACCAGGAGCCTTGTGCTTGGGAACAACCTGCCAGGCCTCCACCAATGCAGCATGACTCTTTCCTAAGTAAGGTCCCAGGCCTTGTCCAGAGCCCTTGCTGCATGAAGATGGATGGATAGGCCTCCTGAGCCTATCCCAAACCCTCCTGTTCCTGCGCTGGCACTCTCTCTCTGCTCTGGAGACATCTCCCTGCAAACCACCACCATGCATGCTGTGCTGATAGGCACCCACAGCCCGCGGGGTGATGGCAAGGCAGCCGGCAGCAGTGGGGTGGAGGGGTCAGCAATGGGCAATACCCAGGTGACTTTGGGAAAAGTCCTGCTGGGCAGAGAGAGAAGGCAGAGGGAGCGAGGGAGCTGTACAACCCCACCCCTTTGGTATTTGCCCACACATCCTGAAAAGACCCATTTTGATGCACAGAGTATGACTGCAGGCCAAAGCACAAGGAGTCACCATGCCTATGTCCCAGAGAGTTGTGGGCACAGGCTGTGTCAGCATGCACTCATCTGTCTGAGACAGAGCATCCTTCAGAAGGAAGCATCCCTCTTTGATTTTAACACGTTCAGCAGTGGAAAGTGGTGCAAGTGAAGCAGAGGTAGTGGCACAAAAGTGTTGAAAGCATGTGTCCTGGTGTGTCCTCGCAGGTACTACCGCTGCGACCGCAACCTAGTCTGGAATGCCGGGGCACTGCATTACAGCGATGAGGTTGTGCTCATCAAGAGCCTCACGTCAATGCCCAGCGGCCGGAACGAGCTGAAGAACCGTGTCTCTGCTGTGAACTACATCGGGAAGGGCACCTACACTGACTGTGCCATAAAGCGGGGCATCGAGGAGCTGCTCATCAGGTAAGGCAGCGGGGCCAGGGTGGGCGGAGTGAGAGAGGGAGGCTGGGAGCTCTGGGTTAGGATGTCCCTAATGCCTGATGCCTCATGCACAGCTGTCCCCAGGATGGGAGAGGAGGTCACGTAGGCACAAAGTAGGCCCAGGGGTGGCAGGTTTCTAGCAGTCCAGCTTCGCGGGAATGGGGCATGCCTTGGGCACAGGCAGTGCCCCAGCCTGGGGCGAGTGTCCGGAGGTGCCCAAGCCATCCCTCTCCAGCTAAAGATGTTAAGTTCTTGCAATATTAAACCCTGTGTTTGAACCCTTGCAGTGGCTCCCATCACAAGGAGAATAAATACCTGATTGTGGTGACCGATGGGCACCCTTTGGAAGGGTACAAGGAGCCCTGCGGAGGCCTGGACGATGCTGCCAATGAAGCCAAACACTTGGGGATCAAAGTGTTCTCCGTTGCCATCTCCCCCAACCACCTGGTAGGGACCACATGGCAGGGATGCTCCCTGCAGGGGTCCCAAGTGGGACCATGGGAGTGGTCTGAATGTCCCTCAGAGCCCTTCCGTGCAGGGAGGATGCAGGTCCCCAGGGTTCCCCCTGGGAATGGCTCCTGCGTGGGTGCCCACAGATCTCACTCTGCCCTCCTCACCCCCCGTGCAACCCTAGGACCAGCGGCTCAACATCATTGCCACGGACCACGCCTACCGCCGCAATTTCACCGCCACCAGCCTGCAGCCAACCCGTGAGATCGATGTGGAGGATACCATCAACACCATCATTGACATGATCGTGAGTGTTGGCCACCCCCTTCCCAGCCTGCCCCCTCTCCAGGCTCACCCACCCCTCTCAAACTCCCTCTCTTTGCTTTCTTGTCTTGCAGAAAGCTAACACAGAGCAATCGGTGAGTGTTCCTGGAGGCCATTGCTGCCTCCCCTCCTGACCTTGTGCCTGAGCCCATCCCCTGCAGGTCACCCCTAGCCAAGTGGGGGCTCGCTGGCACATCCCTGCCCTGCAGGCAGCCCCTGCCAGCCTGGGGAGTTCCACCCCATCCCAAGCAGGGTGCAGCCTGTCCCTGGTGCTGCCCCACTGCTTCTAATGATGTTTCCTTCTCTCTGGGCAGTGCTGCTCCTTCGAGTGCCAGGTGAGTCAGGGTTTTGAGACCCCCTGTTCCCTTCCCTCGCATCCCCATGGCCTCATGCTGTGCTTTGGTGGCTGGTCTAACCTGTCCCTCTCTCCCACAGCCTCCCCGAGGACTCCCTGGACCTCCCGGTGACCCAGGCAATGAGGTGAGGGCCCAGCTGTGGGCATACTGTGGGACCAGGGTGGTGGGACAAGCTCAGTGGCGATGTTCAGAGGCTGGTGGGGCACCCTACTACTGCCCTATGGAGAGGTGGATGTGGCCCACATCCTCTGCTCCCCATGTCCATGAAGCATTGCTGCTACCATACTCCCTGCTCTTCTTTCAACAGGTCATTGTTCTATTCCTGGGGATGATGAGCTAACTTTATTTCTGTCCTGTATTGCAGGGAGAAAGAGGCAAGCCAGGCCTTCCCGGCCAGAAAGGAGACGCTGGAGACCCCGTAAGTAAAGGAACAGCCTTGGTGACTCTGCACGGGGGCTATTTTTTTTTTTTTGGCCACTTCTGGCCAGACCTGGGCACATCCTCGCTAGCCCTTGCCTCTGCATCATCCTGTTTCCATGGAGTAGTCAGTGGGGTCATGGCCAGCTGTCCCACCCCTAACCGTCCTGCTAAGCAGACGCTCCTGGCAGGCAGTGGGGTGGCCCCCTCCTCTGTTGCTACAAGGCTTCCTTGTTCCTCACCCAAAATAGCTGCTCCTTCTGGAGGACACATCTCTGACTCATGTATGCCAGCCCAGGGGTGGACTCTGGGCTCCCTCACGCGTCTTCTGACATGACAAGCACAGCAGTGTTACAGAGAAACCTTTGGTAAATAATAAACTAATTGCATTAGGAAACTATTTCTCTCCTCCTCCCTTTTTTTTTACTAGGTACACTTATTTTTGGGGGGTAAGTTTCTCCCACACACGTGACTGCAGTTACTCAGCTTGTGCATTTCCCACTTGGGAAACTCAATGTCATGCACACACATTTTTCCTTACCAAGGTTTTTCTGCCCTTCCCTTTCATCCCAGATGATATGTCCCCAAGCATCTAGTTTCCCTCACCCCCAGGAAGGGCTGGAGGTGGCGGAGGTGAAGGCAGGTTCACTGCTCTGCACAATGATCCCGTGCTCCAACACCAGGCAAAGGAGGAGCACGGTTAGGGGAGAGCTTCTTGTGGGAGGGGTTGGCTTTTGCAGCCCAAGCCCCACATCAAGAGCCTGGGGAAAGCTGCCACGTGGTGATGGCGGGGGGTTACCTGCCTCTGTAACACCATGTTTCTGTCCTCCAGGGCAGGCCAGGGGACATGGGACCTGTTGGTTACCAAGGAATGAAGGTACGTGGGGCTGTAAGGCCACAGACACACTTCCCTGATGGGCCACAGACCTCGGCTATGAGTGTTTTCATTCTCCCATTTTTGTCTCTTCTTTCATCTCTAGGGTGACAAAGGAAGTCGAGGAGAAAAGGTGAGGACGGCAAGGACATGATGGGAGGAGGAAGGTGTATCTGTGTTCCCTTGCTTGGTTAGCCTAGGCTGGCACTGCAGCTACACCGTGTTGGGGTCTGGCACATGCCTATGCACCCATTCCTCCTGGGGATCCCCCCTCCAACCCATGCTGGGAGTGGGGTTCCCACGGGAGCAGCTGATGCAGCCTTGGGGACCAGGCAGGCACCATGTAGTGGGCCCTGCTGGGCAGAATGGGAGGGACTAGCAGTGTGCAGGGGCATGACGAATGCCTGCACCCTCAGAATGAGCTCGTGTGGGGACCACAGTGGGGGTGGGGTGGGTGGATCTGCTCTGCACAGGAGCCTAACATCTCTCTCCTTCCCTTCGCAGGGCTCGAGAGGAGCCAAAGGAGCCAAGGTCAGCCTCTGCTTTTGCACCATTTATTCCTTCTGGTTGATGTCTGGAGGGGAGAAGGGTCTTTTGGAAATGAATTCTTCATGGTCCCTCTTCTCCCTTTCAGGGTGAGAAAGGCAAGCGTGGAATTGATGGCATCGATGGTATGAAGGTAAATCTTGGCTCTGAGGCGCGTTGCTTAGACCAAGGACCCTGGCTTTTGCCCAGGTACCCCTCCAAAACCATTGTGGGGTACCAGAACAAAACCAACGTCCCAGGTGGGGGCAGCAGGACCCCTTCTCAGCAGGGCCATCCACCTGCCAGCTGGGGACAGAGCTGGGATTGTCCCTTTCAGAGCACTGGGATGATGGATGGGGTCTTCCCATGGGCACTGCTCATGGAGACCCCTGCTTTGTCTGTCTGACAGGGTGAAGCTGGATACCCTGGGTTACCTGGCTGCAAAGGCTCACCCGGATTTGACGTACGTACCCTGTGGATACCCCTTGATTGCAAATGAACCCGTGCAGCCAGGCTGCCATGAAGGCTTGTGGAAACAGGGACCTCCCCAAGAAGGGGAGCTGGGGAGGGAGCTGCCACACTTGGAAATATCCTTCTAGACATGCAGTGCATATCCTGGGCATGGCATTATTCTGGCATTGTATTTCTCCAGTTCCCCTGCTTGTTTCCACGCTCCCAGGATGACACATCCATGGTGGCACCAGTATCACTGTGGTCCAGCCACAGCAGCCCAACAACCACCTCTTCTGCCATTTTCCTGGGCTCTGAGCTGCAGAATCATGCTCAGTTTTGCAGCGTTTCAGCAATGTGGCCGCAGCATTTCTTGCACGGTTCCATGGTGCCAGAGTACCATGCCATCCCTGTGTGGCTCCTGAGTACATGTCCATCCTGTCTGTCTCACTGGGTAGCGGCGGGCCAGGCTGCCAGGATGCTTGTTCCATGCCCAGCTTCCCAGAGAGTGATACCGGCTTGTTTTTCAGTGATGCTGCCTTTATTTTCAACAGGGAGCTCAAGGCCCGTCTGGACCGAAGGGAGATCCTGGTGCTTACGGACCCAAGGGAGGAAAGGTGAGCCACTCTACGCAGCCTCGTGTGGAAGGAGGGGTGCTGGGACCCCTCTCCTGCAAGAGGGAGAGGTGGAGATTGACCTATCACTGGCCTTCTTGCACTGCTTGTG